ACTGTCTACATTGTGTGTACTCTATGTATTCAGTGGAGCTCTCAGGTACCTTACTGTCTACATTGTGTGCACTCTATGTATTCAGTGGAGCTCTCAGGAACCTTACTGTCTACATTGTGTGTACTCTATGTATTCAGTGGAGCTCTCAAGTACCTCACTGTCTACATTGTGTCTATTCTATGAATTCAGTGGAGCTCTCAGGTATCTTAATGTCTACATTGTGTGCACTCTATGTATTCAGTGGAGCTCTCAGGAACCTTACTGTTTACATTGTGTGTACTCTATGTATTCAGTGGAGCTCTCAAGTACTTCACTGTCTACATTGTGTCTATTCTATGTATTCCGTGGAGCTCTCAGGTACCTTACTGTCTACATTGTGTGCACTCTATGTATTCAGTGGAGCTCTCAGGTACCTTACTGTCTACATTGTGTGTACTCTATGTATTCAGTGGAGTTCTCAGGTACCTTACTGTCTACATTGTGTGCACTCTATGTATTCAATGGAGCTCTCAGGAACCTTGCTGTCTACATTGTGTGTACACTATGTATTCAGTGGAGCTCTCAGGTACCTCACTGTCTACCTTGTGTATATGCTATGTATTCAGTTCCTCACTGTCTACATTGTGTATATGCTATGTATTCAGTGGAGCTCTCAGGTACCTCACTGTCTACATTGTGTATATGCTATGTATTCAGTGGAGCTCTCAGGTACCTCACTGTCTACCTTGTGTATATGCTATGTATTCAGTGGAGCTCTCAGGAACCTCACTGTCTACATTGTGTATATGCTATGTATTCAGTGGAGCTCTCAGGAACATCACTGTCTACATTGTGTGTACTCTATGTATTCAGTGGAGCTCTGAGGTACTTTTCTGTCTACATTGTGTGTATGCTATGTATTCAGTGGAGCTCTCAGGAACCTCACTGTCTACATTGTGTGTACTCTATGTATTCAGTGGAGCTGTCATGTACCTTACTGTCTACATTGTGTATATGCTATGTATTCAGTGGAGCTCTCAGGAACCTCACTGTCTACATTGTGTGTACTTTATGTATTCAGTGGATCTCTCAGGTACCTCACTGTCTACATTGTGTATATGCTATGTATTCAGTGGAGTTCTCAGGAACCTTACTGTCTACATTGTGTGTATGCAATGTATTCAGTGGAGCTCTGAGGTACTTTACTGTTTACATTGTGTGTATTCTATATATTCAGTGGAGCTCACAGGTACCTTACTGTCTACATTGTGTGAACTCTATGTATTCAGTGGAGCTCTCAGGTACCTCACTGTCTACATTGTGTGTATGCAATGTATTCAGTGGAGCCCTCAGGTACCTCACTGTTTACATTGTATGTATTCTATATATCCAGTGGAGCTCTCAGGTACCTCACTGTCTACATTTTGTGTATTCTATGTATTCAGTGGAGCTCTCAGGAACCTTACTGTCTACATTGTGTGTACTCTATGTATTCAGTGGATCTCTCAGGCACCTTACTGTCTACATTGTGTGCACTCTATGTATTCAGTGGAGCTCTCAGGTACCTCACTGTCTACATTGTGTGTACTCTATGTATTCAGTGGAGCTCTCATGTACCTTACTGTCTACATTGTGTATATGCAATGTATTCAGTGGAGCTCTCAGGTACCTTACTTTCTACATTGTGTGTACTCTATGTATTCAGTGGAGCTCTCAGGTACCTTACTATCTACATTGTGTGTATGCAATGTATTCAGTGGAGCTCTCAGGTACCTCACTGTTTACATTGTATGTATTCTATATATTCAGTGGAGCTCTCAGGTATCTCACTGTCTGAATTGTGTGTACTCTATGTATTCAGTGGAGCTCTCAGGTACCTCACTGTCTACATTGTGGGTACTCTATGTATTCAGTGGATCTCTCAGGTACCTTACTGTCTACATTGTGTGTACTCTATGTATTCAGTGGATCTCTCAGGTACCTTACTGTCTACATTGTGTGCACTCTATGTATTCAGTGAAGCTCTCAGGTACATCACTGTCTACATTGTGTGTACTCTATGTATTCAGTGGAGCTCTCAAGTACCTCACTGTCTACATTGTGTATATGCTATATATTCAGTGGAGCTCTCATGTACCTTACTGTCTACATTGTGTGTCTGCTATGTATTCAGTGGAGCTCTCAGGCACCTCACTGTCTACATTGTGTGTCCTCTATGTATTCAGTGGAGCCTTCAGGTACCTCACTGTCTTCATTGTGTGTACTCTATGTACTCAGTGGAGCTCTCAGGGACCTCACTTTCTACATTGTGTTTACTATATGTATTCAGTGGAGCTCACAAGTTCCTTACTGTCTACATTGTGGGTACTCTATGTATTCAGTTGTGTGTAAGCTATGTATTCAGTTGAGTTCTCAGGAATCTTACTGTCTACATTGTGCGTACTCTATGTATTCAGTGGATCTCTCAGGCACCTTACTGTCTACATTGTGCGTAAGCTATGTATTCAGTGGAGCTCTCAGGTACCTTACTGTCTACATTGTGTGTAAGCTATGTATTCAGTGGAGCTCTCAGGTACCTCACTTTCTACATTGTGTTTACTCTATGTATTCAGTGGAGCTCTCAGGTACATTACTGTCTACATTGTGTGTAAGCTATGTATTCAGTTGAGCTCTCAGGTACCTCACTTTCTACATTGTGTTTACTCTATGTGTTCAGTGGAGCTCTCAGGTACCTCACCGTCTACAACATTGTGTGCACTCTATGTATTCAGTGAAGCTCTCAGGTACCTCACTGTCTACATTGTGTATACTCTATGTATTCAGTGGAGCTCCCAGGTACCTCACTGTCTACATTGTGTGTACTCTATGTATTCAGTGGAGCTCACAAGTTCCTTACTGTCTACATTGTGTGTACTCTATGTATGTGTATTCTATGTATTCAGTGGAGCTCTCAGGAACCTTACTGTCTACATTGTGTGTATTCTATGTATTCAGTGGATCTCTCAGGAACCTTACTGTCTACATTGTGTGTACTATATGTATTCAGTGGAGTTCTCAGGTACCTCACTGTCTACATTGTGTGTACTCTATGTATTCATTGGAGCTCTCAGGTACCTTACTGTCCACATTGTGTGTATTCTATGTATTCAGTGGAGCTCTCAGGAACCTTACTGTCTACATTGTGTGTAAGCTATGTATTCAGTGTAGCTCTCAGGTACCTCACTTTCTACATTGTGTTTACTCTATGTGTTCAGTGGACCTCTCAGGTACCTCACTGTCTACATTGTGTATCCTCTATGTATTCAGTGGAGCTCTCAGGTACCTCACCGTCTACAACATTGTGTGCACTCTATGTATTCAGTGAAGCTCTCAGGTACCTCACTGTCTACATTGTGTGTACTCTATGTATTCAGTGGAGCTCTCAGGTACCTCACCGTCTACATTGTGTTTACTCTATGTATTCAGTGGATCCCTCGTGTACCTCACTGTCTACATTGTGTGTACTCTATGTATTCAGTGGAGCTCTCAAGTACCTCACTGTCTACATTGTGTGTACTCTATGTATTCAGTGGAACTCTCAGGTACCTCACTGTCTACATTGTGTGTACTCTATGTATTCAGTGGAGCTCTCAAGTACCTCACTGTCTACATTGTGTGTATGCTATGTATTCAGTGTTCTTTATAGGCAGCACACTGTTTATTCTGATGGATGTTGTCTGTAAGCAGGGGAACTCTGATGATGAACAATGTGTACTTTAATGTGTGTTCTATATATTAAGCAAAGTGCAAAGCTAGCGCATTATCTACTATTTTGTATTTGTTCTGTATATCATGGAATCTTTAAGGTGGCACAGTATCTCCTCTAGTGTTGTGTTGAGTATACTATAGATATTGAAGATTCAAAGTGTAGTACACTGCCAACTTATATTTGCTTCATACTGTTAACACGTGTTAAAAACCACATCGGTGCAGAATCTATTAAACTAATGACCTTGCTATACTGAACATTAAATTATCTATCTTGCCTTGGTTCATTTGATGAGTATTTCCTTTTTGGATGTCTTAAAACTGCATAATAATTTCAGCTATTCATAACTTACAAAGTCTGTTATACGTAGGTATGGGAGACATGGAAGTCTACCCCCGACTGTAGGATTTACATGTCTCCCTAATCTAAATAATGAGTGGCTCGTTTTTGTATAACTTACTGACATTGCGAATAGTAAATATAAAGTATTTATTATCAGCGAATTAACAACATGGTGGAGACTATATTAAGAAAAAGTAAAAAAAGCCTGTGGTATGGCAAAAGTATACTAGAAATAGAAAATAAACCGTCTACGAAAGAGCTTCACAGGAAGTTTGTTAAACAAATATATTTTTCGGAAGGCAATATAAGTTGTGAGCTTTGTTTCAGGGTTATTTTAATCAGAAGTGTACGATGGCCGACAAGAGCCTGACAAAAAGATATGAATTTTCATATCTTTTTGTACCATGGTACACTTTTACATCGTACACAAAGATATTAAAATTCAAATCTTTGTGTACCATGTAAAAGTGTACCATGATACACAAAGATATGAAAGCAGAAATAAAATAAACCCGTTTCTTTTGTATCTTTCTGTTCCAAAATAACGGCCGAAAACAGCCATGGTACAGAAACATGTGAAACCATCAGACGTAAAGGTTACCAAGTATGACAAATTACACCATGATAAGGCTGTCATCACATACAATGAAATGTTATCGCACGGAATGTCTGTTATTTTGATTACACCAAATGAGCTACCAAACTATTACTTTCTTATTTGAATTGAAATCAACTGTTCAATATCCTTCACCGAATTTTATAAAAGTTTTACGTTAAAAAGGAAGTCATTATGGATTATTTACTTAGATTTCGAATGTATTCTATGCGCTTTAACTTCTCAAATGAAAAAAATTGTAACGCGTGATTTCATGGTACACTTTTTTCATATCTATTTGTACCATAGGTGGTACAAATAGATATGAAAAAAGAGTAACGCGGTAGTAAAAGGTGAGAACCTTTCATATCTTTTTGCCGGCTGATATCGGCTGTTGGTACATACACATGTGAAAGTAAGAGTGTTTTTGTAAAGTTGTTTATAATCTTTATGTACCATGCAACACTTTTACATGGTACACAAAGATTTGAATTTTAATATCTTTGTGTACCCTATCAAAGTGTACCGTGGTACAAAAAGATATGAAAGTTCATATCTTTTTGTCAGGCTCTTGTCGGCCATCGTAGAAGTGTAAGTTGAATATATAAAGGAAAGAAGAACTTAATTCTGACACACAATATTCCTAACAGTTCTGCCATGTGTTAAAACAGTACACTATCGTCCGGCCTCAACTCTATAGCGGCTGTACTGCTGGAGGATGTGGTCAAGGTCTTCTGTATAGCTGACATCGACGAAAGGAGGGCAACCAACGTGTCAAGGCTTATAGGTAGGTCTTCGTCATCAAAGCGTATAGGGAGGGCTTCATCATCAAAGCTTATAGGTAGGGCTTCGTCCTCAAAGCTTATAGGTAGGCCTTCGTCATCAAAGCTTATAGGTAGGTCCTCGGCATCAAAGCTTATAGGTAGGTGTTCGGCATCAAAGCGTATAGGTAGGTCTGCATCATCAAAGCGTATAGGTAGGTCTGCATCATCAAAGCGTATAGGTAGGTCTGCATCATCAAAGCGTATAGGTAGGTCTTTGTCATCAAAGCGTATAGGTAGGTCTTCATCATCAAAGCTTATAGGTAGGTCTTCGTTATTAAAGCTTATAGGTAGGTCTTCGTCATCAAAGCTTATAGGTAGGTCTTCGGCATCAAAGCTTATAGGTAGGTCTTCGGCATCAAAGCGTATAGGTAGGTCTTCGTCATCAAAGCTTATAGGTAGGTCTTCGTCCTCAAAGCTTATAGGTAGGTCTTCGTCATTGAAGCTTATAGGTAGGTCGTCGTCAACAAATGTAGCGATTCTCCAGCTTAGTACACTCTACATAAGTTGTAGAGTACTAAACTGATTCGATATTTTTCTGATAGTTGTAATTTACCTTTCGTTTGTGATGCTAACCTTCATTTGTCCTTGTCGGACACGTGTTTTACACTATTTGTTATGAAATAATCGAAAAGTATAAATATGTACATGATGTCGTTGGAGTAGTGTTAGTACAACAATACTTATGGAAGTGTTATTATTAACTCTGGATGTAATATTTTTCGATAATTTACTGTTTGTCTCACAGCTTTGGTGTCTGGGTTTATCTGTCTCGGCCTGACGTATGTGGCATCCATGTTGGGTGGAGTTCTACAGGTATGTACAATGTCTTTCCTGCTCAGGGTGGAGTTCTACAGGTATGTACAATGTCTTTCCTGCTCAGGGTGGAGTTCTACAGGGATGTACAATGTCTGTCCTGCTCAGGGTGGAGTTTTACAGGTATGTACAATGTTTGTCCTGCTCAAGGTAGAGTTCTACAGGTGTGTACAATGTCTGTCCTGCTCAAGGTAGAGTTCTACAGGGATGTACAATGTCTGTCCTACTCAGGGTGGAGTTCTACAGGTAAGTATAATGTCTGTCCTGCTCAGGGTGGAGTTATACAGGTATGTACAATGTCTGTCCTGCTCAGATACCTACATTAATGTCTGTTATATTGGGGTAATCATTTCTTTAGGCGTTGTATACATCTGTGTTTCTTCATTTTGTGGCGTTATTAACAGTAAACATAATCCATATTTCTTACATATTGTAATATTATAATTTATTCAAACACATGTGATAGAGGAATGGAATATACTTATTTTAAAGACACATGAGAACAACGGAAAGGATAATTTATTTATACACATGTGATTATGGGATGGGATGATTTATGAAGACAAATGTGAACAAAGGAATGGATAATGGGATAGGGTAATAATTCATTAAGACCTGAATAGACTATAATAGAAACTTGTTGAGAAATACATGATGGCCATGATACAAAGTCCACATCCTCCTTACAGGCAGCCTTGGCCTTGTTCGGAATGCTTGGAGGACCTATACTAGGCGTGTTCACGCTCGGAATCATCTTCCCTTGGGCCAATCAAAAGGTAGGGCAAATTTCAATGCAAACTTTTTGATATTTCTAACTGAATTATTTCAGGATACATCTGTCAATTTCAGTGAAATTCAATTTTTAAAGACAAGTGCGAACCAGAAAAGCTATCTACAAAGCATGTCTGTGTCTGTAGTACAAGCTATCAACAAAGCATGTCTGTGTTTGTAGAACAAGCTATCAACAAAGCATGTCTGTGCCTGTAGAACAAGCTATCAATAAAGCATGTATGTGTCTGTAGAACAACCCAATTACAAAGCATGTCTGTGTTTGTAAAACAAGCTATCAACAAAGCATGTCTGTGTCTGTAGAACAAGCTATCAACAAAGCATTCTGTGTTTGTAGAACAAGCTATCAACAAAGCATGTCTGTGCCTGTAGAACAAGCTATCAACAAAGCATTGGATATCCATGTCTAAATTCTAATAAAATGAAACTTGGGCATTCATCTGTCAGTCCAGCTTGGCATGGTCAGTTGAGAACATAATAATGATAATAATAATAATAATAATAATAATAATATACAACATTCATATAGCGCTCTGTATAATTTGTAAAATTACTCTAAGTCGCTTTACAACATATGGATAATAGTAATGATTATAATTGTGAAAACAAACAACAAAGGCTTGCAATCGCTTTCATACATTTAACAAGCAATGTGCACATAATTAAACAAATAAAATGGTGGTATTTACATGACGTCTTTTCAAAGATTCTAAAATGCAGACGTGAAGAGGTGGGTTTTTATGTCCCTCTTGAACTTGGCCATGGTATTTGACTTCCTAATAGCAGATGGTAAGCTATTCCACAACGTAGCCGAAACCCTCCCAAAGCATCTGATTCCGTAGGTCACAGTACGAGATTTTGGGACACACAACAAAGATTCTGACTCCGACCGCAGTGATCTTGACGGTTGATACAGGGTTACACGCTCCTGTAAGTACTGAGGAGCTGTTCCATTCAGTGCCTTGTATGTGTATACTAGAATTTTGTACTGCGACCTGTACCGTACAGGTAACCAGTGCAACGAATAAAGCGCAGGTGTGATGTGCTCTCTCTTTCGAGTACGAGTAACTAGCCGTGCTGCATTGTTCTGGACCCTCTGCAGACGACTAGTCAGTTTGTCAGATATACCACAGAGCAGGGCGTTACCATAATCCAACCGAGAGGTAACAAGTGAATGCACCAAAATCTTGCATGCATCTGCAGTTAGAAACTGCCGAATACAGCCGATGTTCCTGATCTGGTAGTAACAGGATTTGGCAATAGCGTTCGTTTGTTCCTCCTTGTTCAGAGAACTGTCAAAGTATACCCCTAGGTTTTTAACAGCTGGAACAGTCTTAATAGTTCTGTCACAAACCTTGAGCTGGAGAGCCATTGTTTTCTGACACTTTGGGGAAAAGGCGATTAGTTCCGTCTTTTCCTGATTAAGTTTAAGCATGTTGGCGTTCATCCAGATACTGATATCTGTCAGACAAGCTTCCAGACTTTCTGAGACTGTATTCCAACTGTCCTGCGGTTTTATGACCATGTAAATTTGTGTGTCATCAGCATAGCAATGATAGCAAAGGCTATGGCGACGACAAATCTCTCCAATCGGTTTGGAGTACATACAATATTTT